TGAGTTACACAAAAAAGATAAAATATTGTAGTGGATAAAAATAAAATATTCTTTAACAGAGAAATGGCTTGTTGGCTTGTTTTTTTTTAGCCGTGTGAGATATTATTATGTTGTATCGTGAAAGATTCTTAAAAATATTTTTCATAATTTGTAACTCAATGCTCGACCAGAATCTGTATTCGATGAGAACTAAGATACACTTAGAAAATGCCTTATATTGCCTTTTCAGGACCTGCACAGGCAGTCAGGCATGTTATGGTGAATTTCTCCGAGTATGCGAGACTTATACGAGCCCCTACTGCGAAGTTCGTTTCAGACGACTAGGTCCATCCATCCATTGAGTACTATTTTCGGGGCGTAGCTATCGTCTCAAACGTTCCCGAGCTCATGTAAGCCTAGGTTTCCCATCCGGAAAAAATCGACTCGAAATCGTATAAACGGTTTTTCGATCATATCGAAAATATTGTTTGAAAGTATTTGAGCTTACGACCCCTCATTGAATTTCTACAGCTGAGAGGTTAGCCATCGAAGTTCTGTTAGGTTTAATTATTTAATGTCTATATATTACGTAATAGACAGTTGCAGTTCATATAACTGTAGGTGATTTGAATTAAAAAATCCACGATTTATTAATTTTTCATGTAAATATTTTCACGACAATCTTATGCTCTACTGCTTAAAATGAAAATAAAAAACAAATTAAAATTTTGAAAGGATAACAATTAATCGACATTAATGTGTCTTTTTGTAAAAAAGTATGGGAAATAAATAACTCATTCTATTAGTAAATATCTTCGAACAAGAAAACTAAGTATAATAAACGAAAAGGATAGAGTGACACCGCCATTTGGGTGTATGTGCGTACCTGATACGTTTCCTGAAATCAATCCGAAGAAACAAGCACTTTCGATTGAATTTGGTAAATCCTTCTTTCGTTGCGTAAGCAATGCTCATTGTCTTTTTACTGATGAAGGCTGCAATCATAGGCAATAAATGATACGTAACAATGAAACACTTCGACAATACACTCTAATACTGCTGATACGTAACTATGCAGCGATAGAGATAAGAGATCTACTTACGGGCCAACATGTTACGTTTGTCAAAATGAAATTTCATGGATATTTTATTTGAATTGTAATCATAAAACTTAATAAGGTTATCAACAATCCTGATTCCCTTAAGCTCGATAAGTCACTTTTTTTACAGAACCTTGAAATTACAGCATAAAAGCTATCATAACTCAAAATTTAATGGGAAAGTGTGCAAACATGGACTAGATTAGATGGCCCTATTATCAAGGATCTTGAGATAATTTTCTGGAATCAAATGTAATATTATCAGTGTGATTCATTATTTACTGTGTGTGTAACTTTATCAACATTTAAAAATCAATAAACATCAATTATAATAAATTAAATTAAAAAATCATTTTATGTATCAAGTGTAAAATNTTTTTAAATTAAAATACTACATCTCATATAAATTTAAAATAAAAAACTTTTTCAACTAAAGAGGTAATATTTCGGAAATTTAATGAGGCATGTTTCTGGTCATATTACCACTACCAAATCTGGAAGTACGTAACGTTTTAAAAACATTACATCTTTAAAAAAAGGTACATTTGAAATCTTGCAAGTTGAACTGCACGTAAACAGTGTACTATATTCTTGTTATCTGGATGCAAACATTTAAATATATCAGGCACTAAGCTTTTTTATAGTGGTTTTACTATTATTCAAACAAATGTAGTAATTTATAATCGTTATTTAAAATAGTAATAAAATAATTTAGTTGTTTACTTGGTATGACATCAGAACGTCTGAATTTTCTAAGATCAGTTTATTTTATACAGATGTGCAAAAATTAGAACTATTATATGCTTTAAGTTGTTTATAAGCACCATTTAAAAACAGTAAGACGACATCTTAATTTTAAATTACACGTTGCACAACTGTAATGCAATGAACCTCTCAAATTTAGGAAGACCTGACATAACCATGTGATATTAATTTAAATAAGAGTTTGATTATCATACTTGCTATAGCCACTGTTGACAAAAAGTGGTGGATATTCAATATTTTATTCATACATTTAATTCTTTTTCTTACGTACAGATGTAAGGCTCTCTTATCTTAATTTTCAGATTAGACGAGAAATAATGACCAAGACTTAACCCAGTATCGCTGCATAATAATAGAAGCCTGTTGTTAAAATTTTCTTATGATTTTATTGCAGTTTTATTTTGATGGATTTTGACAGATATTAATTTATTTTTCTATCAGTAGACTTAACATTTATAGTTTAATTTCTCGAATTTTACCATTAAATGCTGATACATGTTCGCTTTAAATGGAAAATGTCGAGGCATTAAAATTACTTTTTTTTATGTAACAAAGATTTGATCAAAATTTAAAGAATTATTTTTAAAATGTTGTGTGCAGTTAAGGTGATGTTTTCAACATTATTAATCAACAAAATTGACTAAAACAAAAGAAAAAATTTAATAAGATGGGTTTTTTTCTTTAATGAAATTAATTGCAGCATTGATTCGACAGTCTTGGGTGGTACCTATCAGGAGGGCGACTATGACTGTTCTATAAACCCGTCAGACACTAAGTCAATAAAAGAAGGATGTGAACGCATCTATCCTTCAATAAAGGTATTTCTGATTCAATACATAAAAATTTTTAGGTATATTAAGAACTATATGGTATCTCTTGCAGAAATGCGGAATAATAAGTGAATGGGCGGGTTTGCGCCCTGGAAGAGTCCAGGTCCGTTTGGAATCGGAAATTATGAGTTCACTTAAAAAAAAAGATCTTGTGGTAGAGTTAAAATTGAATACTTAAAAAAATAATTATTAACCAGAATACTTGATCAACAATTTAATTAACTCATTAACCTTTTACAATTACAGATTATTCATAATTATGGTCATGGAGGCAGTGGAGTAACTTTATGTTGGGGTTGTGCTTTAAATGTTGTTGAAATATTGCATCAGCAATTGAAGATTAAGAATTTATCCAAACTGTAATTTGATCTTGAAAGAATGTTATTTTGATTACCATTACTGTTAATTAATTATTTTTATGATTATTAATATTATTACTATTATTATTGTATTTTTAGTATTATAACTATTGTCATTATTATTAATAGCAAGATCGCCGTAAAATGATTTAATCTTCTACTATTGGTACTTTAACAATTTATAGTCACAAAAATTGATGGACATTTTCAACGTCTTGAAAAATTTTTAACAACTGTAATACAACCTCTTCTTTTAATATTGTAAAGTTTTTAGATCCATTCTTTTTAATCGTTGTGAGCTATTAGTGATTGAGTAAATTTGAGTTTAAAAATAAAAAAAAACATCCCAATTTTTATAAGATTGGTATTAAATATATTATTTAAAACTATAGTTATTAACTTGATAGCATTTTTTAATAATGGTGTTTCAGTTTTTTTCATTTAAGTGTAGAATTTTGTCAAGATTCATATAAAAA